ATAGCAAGTGTCATCTGTACCCACCCGATAGCGGCGTTTTCCCTTCGAATATGGCATTATTCATATTTAACTACAAAATAAGATTACAGTTCAAACTTGGCTGAAACATTAAGCGTCTTATTGACTTGTTTTATTCTGATTTTTCAAAAGCATGCTACTTACAGAGCTTGCATTGGAGATAAAAGAAAGGAAAACGGTTTTCCGCAGTCAGCATACAAAGTATCAAAAGCAGCCGAAATAGCGCTTACTCTAATTCAAGCAAAGGAGCTGATGGCTCGAAATATCCTTGTTAACGCGGTCTGTCCCCGTTTAATTTTTTTTTTTTTTTTCTTTTGCAAGGTTTTTGTTTTCACATGTGAAGCAGAAACGACTGATTGCGAGACGGTGTAACGCAGTAACAAGTAGACTTGCTTTCGTGCTGCTGGTCGAGGGTCAAATTTGGGCTTTGCGAAAATCGATCTTTGCCTACGATTTGTTCGTTCACTTCGACAGTAAATGGCTTCTAACGCATATAAGAAGGAAATAATTGGCCAATGCGCGGGCTGCCCATGCGAAGATGCGTTTTTAGCATAGTTCCCCGCAGTTTTTGTCGCTACTGGAACGATTTTTCCGGCAGATGTTTCTGGCTTAGCCACCAGAGCTGCAATTAAACACCGCTTAAAATTTCAGCTTTCTAGCTCTCCTGGCTCCTGAGTTAGCAACTTACTCGAAAAAAACTTTCACGTGCCCGTATGTGAGTACCATGCATGCCCGATGCCTAGTTTTGAGCTCGTTGAGAATTACGTGAACGGGGAACATCCCCTTAAAATTGCAGTCTTCTAGCTTTTCAGGTTTTCGAGTTAGCGACTTACCTGCGAAAAAATTTCACGGGTCCGTACGTGGGTACCATGCGATAAAGAGCGCCCATTTCGGAGATTGGGGCCCGTACACGCGTGTAGATTAAGTTCCCCAAGTTTCAGCTTCGTAGCTTTTCTGGGTTTCGAGATGAAAAATCGGTACAGACGCGCAGCGCACACACAGACACACACAAACACACACAGACAGCCTTTCGTCAGTATGCGTTTTCTGCACTGCATATCTGCAAAAAACGCGTAAAAACTGCAACCAGATTGCTTCTGAGCAACTATTGGAGGAGGGATCCATAGACATCTTGTTATTGTTTGTACTTAATACTACTCAGACTATTTCTAGTGCCTCCACTTCAGCAGCGAGTTTATTTTAAGGTAAGAGGAGTGGAAGGGGTGGGGAAGGGCAGGGGAAGACTGACATAGGACTGAAGCCTCCGAGTAACAGAACTACGTAAAAAAAAATTAGACGACTACTCGAGACAGTTTTTGGAAAGATGTTGCAACACTTTATATTAAGCATCAGTGGTTTTGCTGACTTTCCCAGTGATTAATGCGGAAGTTAGGCACAACTAATGGTTCTATTTTGATGTGTTTTTTGCTGCAGCAGTTGCACAAAACGTATACTGTCGAGACCCTGTCTGAGTGTGTGCTTGTATGTATGAGCTTATGTGTGTGTGTGTGTGTGTGCGTGTGTGTGTGTGTGTGCGCACGTGCGTTTTACTTACATCCGCACATGATGATGCTGGTCTGAATTCTGAGAATCACTCAGTTTTTCAGTAAAAATTGTCCCCTCGATTATCCCATGAATTCAGTTTGAATAATTAAGAATATTACTACCTATGTCTGAGATTTGTACTTTAAAGTGACGAGGAGATATTGCAGTGCCATCCGGGTTACGTCAACACCGATATGACAAGTCATCAGGGGCCACTGTCCATTGAAGAGGGCGCCGACACGCCTATATATCTGGCAATAATGGAAGGCAATGAGCCAACAGGAAAGTTGTATTATAAAAGAAGAATCATTGACTGGAATGCACCATTTCACGGCTAATACATTTTTCATTTCAATTTTTTTGAAAATATGATGTTCAATGATTTTGTACATTTCCCGGAGTGCTTTAGAGGTGTCGCATCTGCTTACTTTTGTCACAAGAGATGTATTTTACATGAAGCATTATTTTAATATGTTGTGAGCCACGAATGAATTGATTCCGTGCATATTATCATGACCCTGTCTGCGCATTTGTTTGTACGTGTAATGTGTGTGGGTGCGTGTTCAGAGTTTATTCGGCTTTTTAAATTGGCATCCAAAGAAATTAAGAAGTATGCGAAATTAGGAAGAAATTGGGAACTATTGCGAGACCAAAAGTATGAA